ATGTAGAAAAAGATCTATAGCAGCTGAAAGTCCAAGCATGGAAAAGAAAGGCATTAGTTAGGTCTGAGTGGAAGGAAGTAGTGAGGCAGGCCAAAGCCCTACATGGGCTGTAGCGCCACAGGGATGGATGGATGTAGTTTCATACCGTGTCAGTAAATGTTTTAAACGTGTGAAGTTGTTAAAAATAAATAAATAAAAATACCGATACAAGCGAAAAACAAAATGTAAGATTTCTGCTTCTTATCAGAAGCGGACAATTTTTGGCATGGCATAGCACGATATTTATAATCGAACAGTGTACGCCTCTAACAAGATTAGTTTTAAATATACTGTTAATCAAATATATTTAACGTACCGATATTTCATAGGTTCCACTAATCGTTATCGTTTTAAAGGACCAGTTACTATTTCATTTTTAAATGTCTATGTCGTCGTTTAATTTTTTTTTTTTTATCAATATATATTCATTTGTTACCTTGGCGGGGAGGGGGAGGGAGCATTTGACTTGCTCCAGCGGGGGGGGGGGGCGCCGCACTACCTCTTCCCCCCCCCCCCCCCTCCCCCCCCCCCCCCCGGAGAGCTGCCTGAAAGAATCAGTGCATGTGTATTATATAGAACATAGTGATTAACATGGTAAGCTATAGAACATAAAACATAGTCATTCATATTTAAGACTCTGGTTGTAAATACTGCCTGTGGGTCGCGGCCCCGTTGGAGGTCTCACGACCAATTCACAGGGGTCGCTTCAGATCATCGGAAAAAGCATATACTCTACATTTATGAAGTAGAAATGAAAATAATTTTGAAGTTTGGGTCGCCACAACATGAGGAAGTATATTGAAGAATCGCGGGATTAGGAACTAGGAAGGTTGAGAACCACTGTCTTAGAAGGTTTCCCAACCACGATGAAACACAATTATTATTTGAAAATCTCTTATACTCTTCATTTAATATTGTTGACCCAGTGACGTAGAAAGGGTTAAGGACTTCCGGGGTGGGCCACCTCCCCAAAATAACTCTGCAGTTGGCAGCAAATGCCACCCTTAACTATAAGTAAGAATAAAAGTGCCGCCCTGGGCGGACCAGCCATGCCGCGCCCCTTCCTTGTTACTGTGTCGCCCCCTTCCCCCATTGTTCCCAAGATTACTGTTGTGTGAGACAACGGCTACAAGAAAAGTTTGTGTTGAGCTGTGCACTGCGCCGTCTACGGCCGTAACTGAATCTGAAACAACTGCTGGAAGCTAAGCTGGGAAACAACTGCTGGGAGCTAAGCTGGGAAACAACTGTTGGGAGCTAAGCTGGGAAACAACTGCTGGGAGCTAAGCTGGGAAACAACTGCTGGGAGCTAAGATGGGAAACAACTGTTGTGAGTTAAGCTGGGAAACAACTGTTGGGAGCTAAGCTGGGAAACAACTGTTGGGAGCTAAGCTGACAAACAACTGTTGGGAGCTAAGCTGGGAAAAAACTGTTGGGAGCTAAGCTGGCAAACAACTGCTGGGAGCTAAGCTGTGAAACAACTGTTGGGAGCTAAGCTGGGAAACAACTGTTGGGAGCTAAGCTGGGAAAAAACTGTTGGGAGCTAAGCTGGGAAACAACT